TCCCTCTACCTCTACGACAGAGACCTGGTTTACCCCAAACTGCTGGACAACTTCATCCCCCAGTGGCTGAACCACGGCATGGTGAGTCAAAGGTCACGACATGGAGCTGTGGAAGAGTCCACACACCTGGGAGTGGACCGGTGGTCACTAATGGTACTGCAAGGAATTCAAACATCTCTGTAGTTTGTCCTCAAAGGAACTGTGTGTGTGTGTGTGTGTGTGTGTGTGTGTGTCCAGATGCTGATGTAACATCAGAGTTGTTGCTAAGGACCAAAACAACCAGAATATCACTATTCCTTGTGTGCGTGTGTGTGTGTGCGTCCAGCGGTTGTAAATATTTTGTCCTATTCCATGGTATCACAGTTGTTTGTTTACACCAGTGTCCACGGCGACCGTGTGGCCCCTCCCATCAGGGGAAGGAGGGGTGAGGCAGCAGATCCAGCTGAAGTCAACAGGGCGGGCGTTGACCCACTGTCAGTGTCTCCCCCTAGAGGGAAACCTCAGATGTTGTTGCTCTGATTTTATTACTGCAGCGTCCAGCAGAGGGCGCTTAAATGTCAAGAAGACAGGGATGTGAACCCTGTGACCCCTGACCCCCAGCCACCCCCCACCCCAAACAAGGGTTTCTCCTGTTTTTAGCTCCAGACCACAAGGGGGGGCACAAAACAGGTGTTTTATTGACAGGAGAACCTGAACTTGAACTGGAGGAATTCTGGGTAAAACTGCAGCGTCAGGGTGGATTCTATTGGCCACAGCAGCTGGAGGATGTTTGTGAGATCGCCCTCTGCTGGATCTTGTATCTCTTCATAAGCCTGAACAGCTGGTCTCTTAAAGGCTGGTTTAACCCAGGTGGGTACGGGGGGCAAAGGTCAAGTCCAACAGGAAATTAATTTTAAAAAGTGCCACCAGGCACACGCTCTGTGTTTGCATATGAGTGCCCCCTTGTGGACATACATCCGGTGATCCCAGTGTTTGAACTGAGGCTCTTCTGTCGTTAGCCCAGTCGTTAGCTAAGTCGTTAGCCCAGTCGTTAGCTCAGTCGTTCCCCCCAGAGGCCCGTCCTCAGGACTTTCATTTTCCCACAATCCTGTTGTTGCAGCACACCACTGTTCTCCCCTTCATCATCATCGAGATGCGGACCACCCACCATCGATATCCCAGCAGGCTGTGGGGTCTGGCGGCGGCCTGCTCCTTCGGTGTCGGATACATCCTCTGGTACTTTTCCTCTGGTACTTTTCACTTTCTTGTACGTAAACACCACCCGGTCCAGCTCAACGTCACCCTCCCCTCTGCCCCCCCCCCTCCCCCCAGGACATGCTGGGTGCACCATGTGACCGGGGTGTGGGTGTACCCGGTGCTGGAGCGCATCGCCCCGTTAGCACGGCTGCTGTTCTTCAGTGCGATGATGGCGGTGATCTGCGTCTTCTACGTCCTGGGTGAAATCCTCAACAGCTACATCTGGGACCAGCCGCGCACAGGTACACACACACACACACACACACACACACACACACACCTGACCTCAGCCTAACACAGCTGACACCTCCTCCCCCCGTGTTCTCATCACAGAGAAGGTCAAAGGTGAGTGACCTCCGGGTTCTCCCCCGACCGGAGCAGCACAGGAAGAGGAACCTTTGACCTCGGAGGGAGAACGTCAACAACAAGAGTCACTCGTGTGTTGGTTCCCTGACGGACTGTCAACTCACGTCTTCATCAGCTTCAGTTTCAAACGTGGGTCATGTGACCAACACTGCTCTTCCTCAGGCCTTTGACAGGAAGTGACACGTGTGGACTGAAACGGTCAAGTTTAATAATAAAGTTTGATTTTTTTGTCTTTTACTCCTTCAGCCGCTCTGACATCATCAGGCGTCACAGTCAGGACCAACCAGGAGACACCTGATTGGTCAGAGGGAGGGGGGGGGGGGGGGGGG